TGGTTACCAACTCTGAAATGAGACAGAGATTTGTCAAACTTGCGGTTGAATTCTTAATCAAATACGACTTCGATGGCCTGGACTTGGATTGGGAACATCCGGGCGCCAGAGGGGGTGCGGCGACTGATAAAGAGAATTATGTCAAACTATTAGAGGAATTGAAATTAGCGTTTGAGCCACATGGATTTCTCCTGACGGCCGCTTTATCTCCAGGCAAAAGCACAATTGACCATGCTTTTGTTATTCCAAAACTGAATGAACTGGTCGATTGGGCAAATGTGATGGCATACGACTACCATGGTGGGTTTGATAACTATTTGGGACACAACGCACCCATATTTCATAGACCCGAAGAGACTGAAGAGTTGGAGAGAAGTCACCCGGGAATGGATTACACGCACTTCACTGTCGACTTTACTATCAATTATTTCCTAAGTCTGGGTCTGTCTAAAGAGAAGATGATAATGGGAGTGCCCTTCTATGGCAGGGGTTGGACTCTTATGGACGCTCAACACAATAAACTTCACGACGAGGCAAAGGGTATGTCACCCGCGGGTTGGATAGGGGGTGAACCCGGAGTGTTGGGCTACGACGAGGTTTGTGTTTAATTTAATTGTTTATAATTACTTCAATATTAAATCAATTGCTATTTTATAGTTGTGTCAAATGTTTTCGAAAAACAAAAGCGATTGGCACCACACGGGAGACCCCTATTATTTGGCTCCGTATTCGTGGACTAATGAGATATTTATCGGACACGAAGACGTTAAGAGTCTTAAATGCAAAGTATTGTTATTTAATTGATAATTTGTTGAAATATTTTTATACTAATTTTTATATTTATGGCAATCAATAGATCGCATACTTGAAGAGCAAGAAACTGAAGGGAGCGATGGTTTGGGCGCTTGAAAACGACGACTTCAAGAACCGTTGCGGTGACGGAAAGAATCCATTGCTTAATACCGTGTATTCTATGCTTAACGGCAAAGACAGCGGATCTATGGAGTGTCCCTACGGAGACGTTATCCCCAGGACTCCCGCCCCGACCACACCTACACCCGCGCCCACTACACCCACTCCCAAACCCACTACTAAGCCCACACCGACACCACTGCCCACCCCCGACCCAACTGATGACCCTGTGGACTTTTACTGTTCCCGCGACGGGTATATGGCGTACGAAAAAGATCACCACAAGTTCTATCAGTGCGAGAATATCGGACCCCATCGGTGGAGACTAACCCTTCAGCCCTGTCCGGGAGACATGACATGGGTTCAGGCGCACAGAAAGTGTGACGGACCCCCCGATGGTCTTTACTAAATTGACCTTGTTTTGTTATCTAATAACTTAATTATTAATTTTATCTAATTGTATAATTGAATGCAAATATTATTCTATAAAGCATTGTATATAAACATAATTTGAAAAATAAATTTTAA